TAGTGTTAATTGCTTGTTATACTTTGTTAATTAATAAATAAATAAAATGATAGTACTCATGTTTGGAGGAAAAAAGAAAAGAAAGATTTACATACCTTTTTTTATACAGTTGTTTTTTTTTAATAAAGACAAAATTGGTATTAATAAAATTTTATAAAAAATATTAATCTTTTCTTTCATTTCTTCCTATTTTTGAAAAATAACAAAATTTACTATTCATACCTCTTTTCATCACTCCAAATCCTTCATTTTCATTTAACATTTCCTATCAAACACATTTTTTATTATTATTTTTGGTTACCATTCTTTTCTTTTACTTTCATTTTCATTCCACCAATTAAACTCACCCTAACGTCAAAGTGAGCTACAAATCAGGTCTTCCTTGGAATTAAGTGTTGAATGACCAACGACAAAGGTGAAAGAGTTGAAATAGGATATTGATGGTCCACTCTAATCACATGCATTTACTGAAATAAATAATATTATAAAATATTTAAAATTAAATTCTGAATGACTTAGATATGACCACGTTAAAAGCGCAAATAGAATATTTGATGGTCCTCCAATTAAATTATATTTATTAAAATAAATAATGTAATACGGAGTATTACGTACCGAAAAAGTTGAATTGTACCATATATGGCAGTGGACGTCAAGTATTGGTTTTTTACTTTGTAATTAAGGTTCTTTGGTAACCATTTATATTTACAATTTATTATTTATATAAAAAGATTTTGAAGAAAAGCACATTTATATTTATAGATTATATAAATTTACTTATATAATATTTAGCCTATTCACACAGACCAATTTCATAAATGTCAAAACGACGTTGATGTTTATGTTCATGGGTTTTTTTTTATTATTATTTTATTTATGAAAAAAACCATAGAATAAGCAAAACAAACATTATTATTTTGGTGGGTCTTCCTAATGGGTATCATGAAATATTACTTAAACAATGAGTACCTTATGAAATTATTATTATTATTATTTTATTAGATTAGCAATTTGTTACCTAAAGTCATTACAAGTAAGAAATAATTGGATACTTCATAAATTCTTTTATTATTTATTTACAAAATTTTTAAAAACAGTTTAACTTTAGCAAACATATTTTTCTGTTTATAATTTTTAAAATAAGATAAATATTTTTATATTATCAAAGAATGATCTGTTTATTGATAAATAAAAGTTACACATAAACATTCATAAACACTCATTATGTTTAAACTTAAATAATAAACAATAAACAAAAATGGTTACCAAACATGACCTAAGTTTTTCTAATACATGTGACCACCACGGAGGCTAAGTTGAGTTGTAACAAATGTGTCATACCAAGCAACAGACGAACAAGTTGAGTTGTAACATAATGAAAATTTTGAATGTAGTTAAACTACTACCTCCATGCCACAACAAGCCACAGACGAACAAGTTGAGTTGTAACATAATGAAATTTATGAAGGTAATTAAATTACTACCTCCGTCCTATATTAGTTATCCATTTCGAAAACTTTGACTTACTGTCACCTTTTATTTTTGAGTCATTTGATGTCATTTTTAGTCATATTCCTTTTGTATACTTATATACTACCTATATCCCATATTAGATGTCAACCTTGATAATTTTGACTCACAAAAATTGTGAGTCAAAATTTTTAAAGTGAACAAGATAATTGGATAACATCCATTGCCCAATCTTATGCTAGGAAGATAAAGGACACTCATGTAGCAAAAGAAATGCAGTATAGAGTGAAAGAGAAACTGAATATATAGGAATACACAAAAACTGTCTTTTGAACAATGTTCATAGTTGGCTTTTAAACTGTTTCACCATCCAATTTTCCTTTTTTTATCTCTAATTTTTTAGTTTATAATTATATAGGAAAGGGTATATGATCAGGAACATACCTATTAAGGGCTCAGTCGGAGGGCAGCTGCCCCCACTTTTTTTTTTTTTTTTTTTATTTTATTTTTATTATTTACAAATTATCTTTGTGAAAATCTTAAAAATGTACCCACTCAATTTATGATGATACCCCATTATATATTATTGTTGTTCAAGGCCTTTCCCTCTCATACAATTATCTGAATCCGTCATTGTATATGATGTTATAGTTAGAAGGAATAGGTGTTTGGTTCCTTTGAGTTGTAATCCACCTTATCTTAACATAGTAAAACAGATTTATTATTATTATTATTTATTTATTTGCAGAACCTCTGCGACCAATTATCATTGGCAGAGTTTTTTCGTCATTATGCTTAATGTAAAGCCATAACTTCAAATATGACATATGCTACCCGATATAGTTATTGGCCTTCCATGAACACAGCCAAACCATCTTAATCAAGTCTCTCTCATTTCATCTCCAATCGGTCCTACTTCAAACATCTAACTTGTTCATTTCTATTCTTTATCTTACCACCCAACCGTCTCTAGCATTGGTATTTCTTCGATACATTTTACGAATATGGTGTTTTTTGGTCACCCAAAATTCTGTCCAACAAAGTTTGTTTAGCAATTGTTTTATAATTTTTTTAGAGGTATATGCCATGCCGATCACTCAAGAGTCAAGATGCCAGGAGCACTACTCCATTTCATCCATCTAGCTTTATCCTATAAGGAATATCATCTTCAATTTTCCCTCTCTGTGTATAGTTGAGCCTCGGTGAAACAATGTTTGCTTTTTGGTACCTCTTGACTCCCTAGACTACATCCCTACTTTTATTGCTAGTTTTACTATAGTTATGTTCCATGTAGTCAGTTTTAGTCTTAAGTATCTCAAAACCTCTTGATTCTAGAACTTCTCTCCAAACCTCTAATTTATCATTTTTCCCTAATATCATCAACAAATAGTAAAATACATGGAAACCTAATCTTAAATTTGTTTTGTTAGTTCATCCATAACTAAGGCAAAAAGATATGATCTTAATGTCGATCCTTGAATGTAGAATAATGGGGAATGCACTTGTTTTCCCTTTTAACTGTTCTAATTATGGCCGTTGTCTCATCAGTCCTGTCTTTAGAACATCAATATAACTATTAGTAACTTACTACGTATTTCTTTTCGAAAGTCCATCATATTATGTCTCTAAGAACCCTATTGTAGGCTATATGATTTTCATATATTCAACAGCTTCTCAAATTAGGTTTTCGAAAATTCTCTAATTTATCTGTTGGGAATTGAACCCCTTTGTTCGGGGAAGCAAATCACATTCCAAGTATGGAAATCAAATCACAAAACAAACAATCAACTTGCACCATACAATATTTTACGTGGTTCAACAAATTGTTTACGTTTACACTTGAATAATGACTTCCTCCTCTCTTTCAAATATGAAGATTACTACACGCACTCTTCTTCTCTCTCAACTCAATTCTCCCTTTGAACTCCTCACAACAATAATCTAGGTCTCTAATCTCTATTATAGAGAGACCAAAAAACAAATTTTTTAGTGGCCAATGATTAAATTTCCTTTGAGACCAAAACTTGCCAAAAAAAAAAAAAAAAAATTCCTTAAGGCCAAGACTTGCCTTACAGGAAATTACCATAGTACCATACATAATACGACTCAAAAAAGGAAACCTAATTATTGAGAGAATTTGAGACACCAATCCTCGCAGTATCATCTTTGACTAAAACCTTTAGACCCTCAATTTTGATGCACTTGATAATGATACAATGTCTATCTATCCATCCATCCATCCTCTCCCTCAACAAGTGTGTGTGCTTTCTTCCTGTTGTCCCTTATTCCTAGATTATATAATAAATATCATCCAACACTCTACACATAGCTCCTCTCACAACTATTTTAACCTATATCTATGCATGTCTGTATTTTGCAAAAGTTTCTCCATTTCTAAATTTTGGCCAAAATTTACAATACTCACTTTTTGTTTTATGATTATCCCCATCGTCCTCGTCCATCAATTCGTATGGGTCGGAGAATCTGGTGCGAAAAGAGGCTGAGACGGTAAGCTAAGGCTTTTGTGTCTGATCTAGCAATGATGGAATTTATGTTCTGTAATACTTTCAGCCATCTTATTTAACAATGATTTAGTTTCACATTCTAAATTCCATGTCATTTCTCTTAGGGTTGATTCCACCTAACTCCCTGAATTTTGTCAATATTCCACACACACTCTCTGTACGTTTTATAATTCCACCTGCTCTCTGTACGTTTTATAATTCTACCTACACCCCTTGTCAATAACCGCTGTCTAATTTACCAACTGAAATGTGTGATTTTACTATTTTACTCTTGAATTATATATTAAAATTTATAACTTAAAGAAAAAGACTTTTACACCCTCCCTTTTAACACCATTAAATTGCTCTCTCCACTCTCTCACACACACATATACACACTTATGTATATATATATTCTCCTTTCTGCTTCATTATTGGCGGCAATGAAGGAACTGGGCGAAGTGACCTCAACCTACCATCACCACAGGGGATAATTTCACTGACACGCCCAGTAGTTTGGCCAAATATCAGTCTAAAATATCTTTCAAAAATAACTATCACTCACATTACAAACGTTTGCTCCGTTTTTCACTCACACCCCAAAAGTTAGTTTACAGATGTGTTAGACCACTTTTTACCTATTGACTTTAGTTTGACCCTGACTTTGGTATACCCTCATTTTTTTAATTTATTTTTTTACAAAATATCAGTATTAAAAGACAATATGGCCCCTCAAAAATTTGTAAATTTACAAATTATATTATATATACAGGCAGACATATATATACTCCTATATACACACACAGACATATACACACACACACACACACACACACACAAGCACAACACCACCACCAAATACAGCGGTGGAGTCGTCGTCGAATCCGACAACGGCCGCTCATTCACCGTCAAAGTCGACTCTCCCACCTTCCAAACCAATGTCTCCCTCGCCGCGACCTCATCTGCAAGGTCGCTCGGATCCTCCAATCCTCATCATTGGACCCTTTCCTCGACCTCTCCGACTACCTCCAAGACCCGGATCTGTCTCATCGGATCTCCAAGACCCAGTCATCTCCCTCTTCGCAGAGCTCGTTTCCACTGGATCTGCCGCTATCGGATCTGTTTCGCCGGCGCCATCAACATTCTCATAGCCATCTTCGCTCTCCATCTCCAAGCTCGCCGTTGCCGCTACTCCACCGCCGAGCCGAGCTCTTCACTGCCGAATTGGAGTTGTCATCTCTCCCACTAATCCACTCGCTACCAAGTCCCGTGAATCCTCTTCCAGTCGCCCCTCGCCGGTTCTCTCAAACCCAGATAATCAGTATATATATAGTTCTCACTGTCGATTCAGTCCACCGAGCTCGGCTGTGGCTGACGAGCAAGGGTCTTCAGACGGCGGCCGGCGAGTAAAAGAAGCTTAGCTCGCTCTCTCTCTCTCCTAGCAACAAGCACTTGTCCTCGCCGTCGTCGCCCTAAACCATGTTGCCGCTTCTGTCACCTGAAGTTTCCCACAGTCGTCGGCGGCACCACCACCACCATCACCCCATCATCACCGACCGCTAACCACCAATCTCTCTGTACACTTTCTCTCTCTTCTGCAACACACCACCCACCACCAAAAAAGCCTTAACTTTTGGAACCACCACCCACTACCACCACCACGACGGCCAACAGTTCCATCTACCCAATTGTCAGGATATAATTGTCTTTTAACTAATCTGATATTTTGAAATAAATGTTATTAAAAAAATAGGGGCAAAGTTATCTTTTCACATGTTTTTAACGGAGGCTGTAACGGAAAATAAAAAATGGACCTAAGTGATAGTTATTTTCGAAAGATGTTTTAGACTGATATTTGGCCAAACTACTGGGGGTGTCAGTGAAATTATCCCTCACCACGGCCAACCACTAACAACCATGTGCATATACGCAGACACATATACACACAGATACATATATATGCATAGACACATATACATTACACACAGGCCTTAAGTTGTTAATCCACCTCAATCTGCAGTGATCTTCCCACACCTTTGCAAACCTGTAAATATAATTAAGTACCACACATCATCAAATTAAACACAATTAATTAGTTAATTGTCACAGTAGTGGACTCACTAAAGAATTATTCGATGAATCAACGGACGAGAAATATATATATATATATATATATATATATATATATATATATATATATACCAGCCTATTTTGGGACAAAACTCCAGCAGCCATGACCAGACTTGGTGATGTAACTCAAGAGCTTCTCGTTTTCCTCTGGAGACCACAAACCTTTCCTTAACTTCTGTTTGTAACAGCACGAGTATCTTCCCATTTTGGAAGGAAGACCCACCACTGCCCTGCTCTGCTAATTCAAGCAGATATTATTCCCACCTCATTTAGCAAATTGCAACTTTTTTTTTTTTTTTTTTTAGGGTTAATTACAACGACACCCCCCGAGATTTGCCTTATTGACAGTTGTATACAACTTAGTCGTTTTTTGGACAAAGACACCCTCCAAGTTTGCAAACTTGAACAATGACACCCCAAACATGATGAAAGGACATGTTTACCCTTTGACCAAGTAAAATGACCAAATTACCCTTATCCAAAAAATTCTTTCTTCTTCCAATTTTTTTAGCTTCCCATTCATTCCCTGTGAGCCCTTCTTCCCCGCCGCCAGAGGCCAACAACCGAGCCCATCACTGTCCCGCTGTCGCTCTCATCCGAGCCATCCACAGCCGTAGTCCATTCCTTCACTGTCTGCTTACTGCCATCACAACTCTCTCTTTCTTGGGCTTTTGCTCTGGCGACAACCGTCAATCGATTAAAGTGAAGTTAGAGAGAGAAGGTAAACATAGCAAACATCTACAACTTTCTAAGCTTTGGCTCTGGCGACGACCAATCGATAAGATTAGACTCTAGCAACAATGGCGACCAAGCGATGTGATTAAGCTTCAGCCACTAACACCAACGATGGCATGGCGGTGACGCGATTCCGATGTTGACGAGGCAACGAGGTCCGGCGACTAACAGTGGCGATTGCACGACGGTGACACGATTCTGACATCGATGAAGGGGCAACGATATATATTTGGTGTGAACCATCGATTCGGATTGATTGGGCAATAACATTATTGTTTCTTCTTGTGGCAATTCAGACCGATGAGCATAGCGCTCGTGGCTTGTTCAACCATTTAATTAAACCATATTTGCTCCAAATTTAACCCAAGAACTATCAGACAACATCTAAAATTTTCGTTAATATCACGAAGAACTCCGGCGACACACCAAATGCAAGTGAGTTCAGATGAAATCAAGAAATTTACACATACAATTATATATATATGTTAGAATCTCCCTTTCTAACTTCTCTCTCCTCTCCCCCTCTCTTTCTGTGATAGTTAGCCCAAAGAAAAGTGTTGATTCCCTACAGCCGAGGCCGTCTTCATCATAGCTGAGCCATCACCAGCCACATCGAGTCCTCCACGGCTGAGCCGGCAGCCACAGTCAAGCTCTCCACTGGCCGAGCACTCCCTCTTGCCCGCCGGCCGCCGTCCTAAAAGTGCTCTCCGAACCGTGTTGCATAGTCACCCATCACACGAATCTAAAACCCAACTCCACGATCACTTGATGACAACGGATAGCTCAGCTGGTGGAGGGCTCGGCCGTGAGAGGAACTGCGGCATGGAATCGATGACCAAGAATAGTGACTAGGGATTTGAGAGACACTGTGTGTGTGAGATAGAGAGAAATTGGGTTTGATTTACGGATTGGCGGTTTGAGGGTATGGAAGAAGAAGAGGGCGATGGAGCAGTTTGTGTGTGAGAGAGAGAGAGAGATAACATGAGAGCTATTAAAAGAGAGAGATGAGATGAGGGGTAGTTTGGTCATTTTATGTGAGGATTAAAATATATCTTAGGGCATATTAAACATTTCATGTGACTTTAGGCTATGTTTGGCTCCGTTTTTTAAAAATGGGGTGTCATTGTTCAAGTTTGTAAATATGGGAGGTGTCTTTGTCCAAAAAAGGAGTAAATTGTATATGACTGTCAATATGGCAAACCTTAGGGGGTGTCATTGTAATTAACCCTTTTTTTTAATTTGGTTGTAATCTGACAGTAATGGGAAAGAAAGAGTCTGAATTGTTTTTTGCTTTCTTGCAGGAGCGTTATGCTTGAAACAATATAGGCATAGAGAGAAAGAGATTTTGATAGAGAAGGCTAGGAAAATGAAGTAGCAGCTGAGAGATCGAGGAAGCTGAATTATAATAAAAGAGAAATAGTCACTATAACTTCGCAGGAGCGTTTTGGTTAAGGTGGGAAAACAGCTTAGGCGAGACCACCAACGTGCAGTGAACAAACCGCGAAGCTTCGCCGGACGGAACTGAGCTTCACCGGACGGGATCGCCGGACTGAACTGGGTCGAGGTAGCTGTGAACTTTGCCTCCATCGTCTTTGATCTGTCTTACCTCGTTCTTGTCCAGCGTTTGGACTGAACTAAGGGTTCCTCCTATTTCAGTCCGGCGAGCAGCGATTCCTCAACCCACCTCAGTGAAAGCTCTGTAGATGAATTCGGCCTAGCTCTGTAACTTAGTCACCATTGTCAAAACTGCAAGTTTCACCGGCCTTGTCACAGTCCACCTCATGCCGGTCATTTCATTCCATCAAACAGTCTCGTCGGCGTCTATTGAAGCATGCCCGCCGTCCTCTTCACCGCCGTTTAGTAGCTTCATCGCCTGTCAGTTCAGTCTCACCGTTTCTCGCCGGTAAAAACAGCTTCGTCGTCTGTCCTTGCTGGTAAATTCTGTGGCTGCAATTCCTGTTTTGCATCGCCTAGCCATCCTTGCACACCTTTCAGACTTGTTTGGTCACCATCTTTTGGTGTGTGGATTAATATTGTGGGTTCAATTCCGGCGACTTACAAAGTTGAAGCGGGAAATGGGGTGTTCTGGGTTCTGTGATATGAGAACCCGGTTATCCTTTTGAATTTATAAGTTAAGGGTAATTTTGTAAATTTGCATTGGTTAATGAGATTAAAAATGTCATTTTAAGTATTGAAAGGGCAAAATTGACTTTGTACCAATTTGTTCATGCTAGCAGGTGCTTAACGATACGGGGTAATGTGCTACATAAACCAAACCTCAAGAGAAGTAGATGAAATTATGAAACGTAGAAGGATTGTAAATAAAATATAAACAACCTTAAAAAAGTGTAGGTGAAATTAACTCTTTCTTTTAATATCCTATTCTCTTCATTGATATTTCTTCAATACACATGTAAGACCATCAACCAATTAATGTAGTTAGGTTAAACTCTCGTCTACAGTGATATTACAATCTTTGCGTGTACTTTTCTACTTAGAAAATAATAATCTTTGCATGTCATTCTTGCTACCATACGATTATATGCAACCACGTAAATGATGTTCCCCTTTAGGGGTATATAATGTTATCCTATGTATTATTTCATATACTCAAATATCTTTTCCCACGTGACCAATAAAGTCTCTCCTAATAAATGATTTCTCTCTTTCAAGTATTTTACGAATTAATTCATCTATATGTTCCCAAAATTCTAATTTAATATACTTACATATGTTTTACAAATATCATTATAATCTTGTTTTTAATAATTCTAACAACATTGTCTTTTAAATTCTTATCTAAAGCTATCCCTAAACCATTTTTCTCTATCTTTTCCAATTCAATAAAGTTTATATCATGTATTTTCAATTCTCTCTCATACCTAGTTAGTCTTGTGTAAACAAGCTATATCAACTTTCTTCTAGTGATAGCATCTACTAGCTTCATCCCTTTACCTGTCAATGTTCCTCTAATCCAAGTTTTTCAATCAAATACTTCTTTACCGTGCCTACAATCTTAGACTAACTTCTTTACCGGTAATCAACAAACAAGGATGGAATTAAGGCAGATTATTCCTCACAGATAAAATAAATAAGGGAACAACATAACTCAAAAGAACAATTATTACCAAATGATATGATTAAAAAAAGAAAAATATATGTCTATATATATAATATGCCAGCAGAGAATGATTTTGTGCTGGAAACCTATTCTTGACTCAGTTATTCAGTTTTGATTATAGAAAAAGAAAAGAAAAAATGCAAGAAAAACATAGCACAAAGGCAAACACATAATCACATTGA